AGCCTTATCTACAGAGCAAGTGCCAGGATAGGCTCCAAAGCTACACAGAGAAACCCTGTCTCGAAAAAACAAAAACAAAAAAACAAAAAACAAAAAAAGAATTAACCCATATAGCAAAATCAACTCAAGCAGGATCTTAGTATTCACTGCTTCTGATCTGTGCTTTCCAACACTAAGAAGTATATGCCCTTCTTTCTGTCTTTACCTCCACCACTGCACTCTGCAACAAGTCTGATAGTTATCAAGCCCCCACACCACTACTAAAGTGATCATTATAGCAAAATATATGGAGTACTTATTTTGTGTCAGGCAATTTTTTTAGGCTCAGAGGATATAGTCATTGAATCAAAAAGATCTCAGGGAATTCAATGTGGTCCCTGAGAGAGGAAAAAAAATGAAACCAATTTCAGACAGTAAAAATACGATGAAATGAAAGCAAGTGGGGTAAGAGGCAAGCTATTGCAGACAGAAAACAGAGGACACACTGAGGTAAATGCCATTTAACAGGGCAATCGTTCCTGGAAAAATCATGTGAGATACATCTAGAGGCTGAATCTACAACTAGCAAACATTCCACAACACATAAAAAAGTGACTTTTGAGTAGAAAAGTATAAAATGAATGAGACCAAAAACTGAAAACAAAATGAATTTCTACTTCCTTTGGCAGAATAGCATTGTGTCTGTTAATACTATGTAACCAATGCATTATTCTATCTTGGGGAACTCAGAACTCCCCCCTTTCAGATCTTGGCCTTATACCTTCCAAATAACAATTATGCTACTGCCACTCCCTTCAATTTGGTGGCTTTCCACAGTTAGTCAGACTGGACTCAGGCATTACACTGTGGCAGTGAATGACTTTAGCCACTCACATTGCCCAGGGTTTCTGCACAGGCCTTTCGTTTACAAAGAAAATCAAGCAGTTTGGTAGAGTTCTGGACTCTACTCAGATTGCCACCCACTAAATCTGTTATTGACCTACCAAGGTCCTTTCTACCTATACAGCTCACTTGAACACCAATTCTAGAGCATCAACATGATTATGATTTCTCTAAAAAGTGACATTTCTGTCAAAACTCCTCTGGTCTTTAAACACCTGACACTTATTGTGTTATCATTTGGATGAATGAACACTTATTTTTAATCTCTTAGGTTTCTGAGAACAAATACTCATTATTTATGCTTAATATGCAAGTCTAAGGAGGGGCTACAACTTGAATGAGGAATTAAGTGAAGATAGTATAAAGTCTTACTTGGTGTTCTGATACCAAAATGTGATGGTTTAATAAGAAATCTTAAAAATTGTAAAGTAACACCAGCTGGCTATATTCAAGTTCTAGTTCTGTCACTAGTAACATGACTCTCAAAGATGTTATTTAGCTCTCTGGGCTATAAATTTTCTACTTGCAAAATAATGAGAGTATAGCATTACCTTAAAACTCGAAGTAAAAAACTGAGTTAATGGGGAAAAGTGTGGTGACCCACGCCTATAAATTCAGCACTCAAGAAGCAGACAGGGAGGATCCTGTGAGTTAAAGGCTGGGCTATGCAGTAAGTTCTAGATTAACTTTGTCTAAAGAGACTCTGTCCCAAATTCAATAAATAAAAATCAAAGTAATTTACACTTAATGAAGCAGCATGGTAACATAGTGCTCAACATACATGCACAGCCATGTTTACCATTTCTCCAGAAACCAATCTCTCCATTGGTAAACTGACAATATCAGATTCACATTTAAGTGTTAGACAGCACTCAAGATAACAAGATCACTAAGTGGAAAGCGGAGTAAGTTTCATAAGAGAGACACAATGACAGTTGGTTAGTATCTGTTCTACCTAATAATTTGCTGTGAGACCATCTTACACACTATTTAGCAGTTAGTTCTTTAATGGTTTAATGAGAAATTGTAACATAATAGTAAACAGCTATATTCAAATTCTAATTTTGTCACCTTTAATGTAATGAAAAGCTGTACAAAAAAACCACACAAATTTCATCACATACCAAACCTAGAAACATGTGTTGGGTGAAAATTACTTTAGAAGCACTCCCTTTCTATCAGTTTTAATAAAACTGAAGACAACCTATAAGTATGAAATTGACAGAAACAAATTTGACTCAAACTATAGTATCACAGTCTAAAATTACAGTGAATAAATTGTGTTACAATGTAAGCCAAAATTTATCACTCTTCAGCTCAGACAACCCTTAGTTCATGCAGTGAAGGTGCAATCTACAAATAGTCTGCAAGGCCCTGGTTGTTCTGTTTCCCCCTCTTCTTTGCTGGCCTTATCTCCTATAAGTCCCTCATTTGCTAAATGCTACAAACACACTGATCCTCTAAGAGGACCAGCTTTGTCCTCTTCAAGGCCTTACTCAGAACACTCCTTTCTCCAGACACTGCCATGGATAGACTCCCTCACCATCTTCTAGCCTGATTCATTAGTGTGCCCGAACGGGCTTCCCTGAACACTCTAGAGCACACTGCAGTTTCTCACAAGCCTCCCTCCTTCACAGGTACAGATTATTCCATAGCATCCAGTGTAACATAACTTTGTCTCTTACTCCTCCTTAAAAGTTTCATGAGGGAACTGGTGACATTGTTTGGTGTGTAAAGGTGCTTGGCACCAAGCCTGACCTGAGTTCCATCCTCAGGACCCACATGGTTGACCTCTGACCTCTACAGGAGGTTATTTATGGTACACACACAAATAAATACGTGTAAAGTTAATAATTTTTTTCTGAATGCATCATATCAAGCCATGTAATTCTCGTTCTAGATTAAGGAAAATTAGTTATTTTCACCCGGAACAGGATTGGGCTCTACCAAGTTTAAGCAAATTAAGACATGGTCCCTGCCATTCAGGAGGCATGTATAGGAGATAATAGAGGAATATCATTTGCAAAAAGAAAAAAACAAAAAAAAAAACCAAAAACGTAGGGAAGCCACAGGAAACTGAGCGACAGCCTAAGGGAGTAGGGGCAAACGCTAAAATGACAGGAAAGCTCACATATGCCTCTAAACTCTGACTAGTATAATTTTTCCTTACGTTTCTGGTGCGCACTAGCAATCCATAAATATGATTTACTCACATCAGGTAGGCCGCAAAAAGTTTGTAAGCACGGTGGTGCTAATCATGATCTACTCAAGGTTTCACCAAGATCAATGACTTTTACAATGTGGGCCTGCAAGTTCAACAGAGCTACCTACCGACAGGGTCAACAGCCCCCCACCGGCTCGCACAGCCTGGAGCCCAGCCCCTGAAAATCCCTTCCTGTCGCCCAGCAGGCACCGCCTCCGGAAAGCCGCCAAGTGGGCCCCGTTCGGACGTGCGAGGAGCGGAGCCGTGGGAAGGCAACGCGGCTCGGGAGGGCCTCCCCGGGGGGCTCCAGGCGGCGCAGCTGCCTTTCCCCGGACCCCCGCGGCCGCCCGGCTCCCGGGGCTCCGCCGATTCTTTGTTAAGCAACGCCGCGGCTCCTACGCCCTCGCCAGGCCCCAGTTACCTCCCGTGCCCCCGGGGCTGGCGGCCCCGCGTCTGGAAAGCCCTCCACACAGACCTGCTGCTGCGCCTCCGGATGCAGCTGCGACTACAGTCGGCGCGAAAGAACCCCACGGCCCTGCGTACGCGCGGAGCCCGGCCGCGTCCAGCCGCGCTCCTCCTCCGCCCCCTTCGCCGCCGCCTCACGGCCCGTTGCTGACTGGAGGGGGAGGGGGAAGCGCGTCTGACATGCGCGCTGAGGAGGGCGCGAGCCGAAGGGTGTGGCTTGGGGGACTACGGCTCCCCAAAGGCGCCAATTACGCCCGCCCTTCAGATTCCGGAAACGTCAGAGGCGCGTCACAGACACACACACACAGTTCACACACACGACACTCGCACAGGTCACACTCACAGACACAGAAGACACACAGCTCACACACACACACAGAGACGACACTCACACAGTTCACACACAGACACAGACGACACCCACACAGCTCACACACACACACAGACACAGAAGATACACAGCTCACACACACACACAGACACAGAAGATACACAGCTCACACACACACACACACACACACACAGACACAGTTCACACAGCTCACACACACGACACACAGCTCACACAGACACACAGAGACGACACTCACACAGTTCACAGCTCACACACACGACACCCACACAGCTCACACACACACAGACACTCACAGTTCACACAGCTCACACACACGACACACAGCTCACACAGACACACAGAGACGACACTCACACAGTTCACAGCTCACACACACGACACCCACACAGCTCACACACACACAGACACTCACAGTTCACACAGCTCACACACACGACACACAGCTCACACACACACAGACGACACACAGACGACACCCACACAGCTCACACAGCTCACACACACACGCACACACACGCGCGCGCTCCCTGGACAGGAGCTCGGCTGGCTCTTGTTAGAGTGAGCTAGGGCCGGCCGGCAATCCCAGCACTCGGGAGGCAGAGGCGGGCGGGTCTCTGTGAGTTCGAGGCCAGCCTGGTCTGCAGAGTGAGTTCCAGGACAGGCTCCAAAGCTACACAGAGAAACCCTGTCTCGGAAAACCAAAACAGATCTGTGATGACGAGAGCGGAAGTGACAAGGGAACTGCTCAAAAAACCCAGGATGAAAGGATGACGACGGGAAACTTGGTTTACATAAGACTGTCGACCCTCCCTGAGCTCTTGCAAAAACCGACTTGGGCAACTTTTCCCTCCGTGCCTCTGAGCACATGGTCCCATAGAGCATGGCCACCTTTAGCTTCCGGAGCACGGGATCAACGTGACGTCGGCCTGACGGGACACTACGGGAGAAACCCGGCCTCCGCCGGCGCACTTCTGGGCCCCGGACGGCGGGGGTTACGTAATTTTCCCAGCAGCCCGGCCTCGCCTTACGCCGTCCTTCAGGCCGCGCCCCGCCCCCACGCCGCGCGCAGGCGCAGACCAGCCGTACGCCTTCTACGTAACGGACGGCTGAAGCTACGTGAATTGGAGGGTGCTGTGACTGAGCGACCTGTCCTGGGCTGTGTCCCAGTGTCATCGCGGCCCTCAACAGTCTCTGCGACCTGAAGGCGGAGGCCAGACACAGGCAGGCTGGGTGGAGGTGGTGGCCTCAGAAGCCCCAGGCCCGGTTGCAGCCTCGGGTGCAGGTAGGTAGCGGGCCGTGTCATGCCAGTCGGTGTGGCCGAGCCAGGCCGAGCGGTGACTAAGTTGCGCGGCCGCAGAGCCTGGTACTGTTTCTCATCTAAGCGATCCTTTATGTCCGGCTGGTGGTGACATGCATCAATCCCCGCAACTTATCTCTCCCGAATTAAAAAAAAAAAAACAAAAAACAAAAAAAACAAAAAACCTCTGTCCATCCTTTTCTGGCCCATTTTGTTGTTGTTGTTGTTGGACTTTAGGAGGGTTTGGGGTCGTATTAGTGGCTTTGAGCAAATTCCAAATCAGCAGAACAAAATCTGAGAAAATTTCTGGTGTGCAGCCAGAAGAATGGAGCATAGACACTAGGCTTTTCCATGGTGGCGGAGGCAGGACCAGACCCGAGACGTTTGACAGACATAACCTCTAATAGAGTCGACCTTATCTGAAGGTTTCCAACATAACAACTTGTTTGAAATGTGCACATCATTTCCAAAAGTTTCATCGTTTTGACTTGCGGTGAAGACCTGAAAGAACGAGCAACGATTGCTTCACTTACTCGTTTTTAAGTCTGGAGTCAAGTGGTTGAGCTTGCCAGAGATAGTCAAGACAGGCATGTTACTGCTTGTGCATGGCCTGGATTCTTGTGTTTTCTGCTTCAGAAGTCCTATAGGCTGGGTGACCTGGCAGAGGGTGGTGCATTTGAGAAATGGTTTGACAGGTGCAACTGACTCTTGTTAGAAGAGATGCCAGTGCACAAATGCCTTGGATAATTTTAACTTAAATAACCTTGAGGGAGCCTGGTTGTATGGATTTGCATTAGAAATACACATGTGTTGTGAACGTTCCGAGTATAGAAGCAGCTTGAAATGACAAGAACTTTTGGGAGTCTGTTAACCAAGCTGACGATGGTAAAAAGTTACTTCTGCTTGCAAAGGGGAGCAGTAAAGCACAGCTTTTTGGTTTTTTGGGACAGTGCCTCTTGCAAGCTGGCTTAAAACTCACATGTAAGGCAGGACAGGCTGGTGGAACTCAGGGTAGTTCTTTAACTGAGGATCCCTGGTGCTGAGGTTACAGGATTGAGCCTGCTGCTCTTTTTGTTTGTTTTTTGTTCTTTGTGAGACAGGGTTTCTCTGTAACTTTGGAGCCTGCCCTGGTACTTGCTCTGTAGACCAGGCTAGCTTTGAACTCACAGAGATGTGCCTGTCTCTTCATCTGGAGTGCTGGGATTAAAGGTGTGCACCACCACTGCCTGGCTTTTTTTCTTTTTTAACATAGGGTCTCACTGTATAGTCCTGGCTGGCCTTGAACTGGGGCATCTACCTGCCTCTGACTCCAGAGTACTAGGATTAAAGGTATGCTACCCATCCTATCAGCCCTGTGGAGTTTTGGGGACGGGGTCTCATGAAGCCTAAACAGGCCAGGAACTCACTACGTAGAGGAGAATGCCTTGAACTTTGACCCCCGCCTCAGGCGCCTAAGTACTTAGATTATAGGAGTATACTACCACACCCAATTTTATATGGTACTAGTGTCATCCCAATTACTCTGCCATCTACAACAGAGTTACATACCCGGCCTCCCTTGTAACATTTTAAAAATTACATTCATTCATTTATTCGGGTCAAAAAAGCAGGAAGGAATACCACTGTGTGAACGTAGAGGTCAGAAGTCAACTTATGAGACTTGATTCTGTCCTTCCACAATGTGGAGCCCAAGGGTAAAACTTGGTCCTTAGCCTTGTTGGCAAGTGCCTTTACCCATTGAGCTGTCTCGTTGGCCCAGTCCTCTTGTAACAGTTTTTAATAAATAAGAAAATATGGTTTGGATGTCACACCCATAGTTTAATCATCAGTAGTAATACTCTCACACATATGCATCCTTTAGGCTGAATGTCTATGATTAAAAATAGGTGTTAGAGGTCAGGCAGTGATGGCGCACTGTGAGTTTGAGACCAGCCTGGTCTACAAGAGCTAGTTCAGGACAGGCTCCAAAGCCACAGAAAATCCCTGTCTCAACAAAACAAAACAAAACAAAAAACAAAAACCATTAATAACTCCTACACATTTTTACAGATAACTGCTGACAGTATCTTGATAGACACTGTACCTCTTGGCCTCACCTCATTGAGGAAGAGAAACGCAGTAGGCATTTGTGAGGTTTTTGTTTGTTTGCTTCTTTTTGGTTTTTCGAGACAGGGTTTCTCTGGCTTTGGAGGCTGTCCTGGAACTCACTTTTGTAGACCAGGCTGGTCTCGAACTCACAGAGATCCACCTGCCTCTGCCTCCCGAGTGCTGGGATTAAAGACATGCACCACTACCTCCCCATGATTGTTTTGTTTCTTAATTAAGGGTCAATCTGTAGGTTCGTCTGGCCTTGAGCTCAGTATGTAGCCAAGTCTGGCCAAGGACTTCTGATCCTCTTTCTGTCTCCCAAGTCTTGGGATTACAAGTATGTACCACCATACTGCTAGTTTACTAACCATTAGCAAACTATGTTAATCATGTATGTGGAACGGCAGTTCACTGAACACACACCCTCTGTCTCTCACAGCTTATTTTTAAGACACAATGAAAGCCTTCTATGCTTTCTGTGTTGTGCTTTTGGTGTTTGGGAGTGTCTCTGAAGCCAAGTTTGATGATTTCGAGGATGAGGAAGACATAGTAGAGTATGATGATAATGATTTCGCTGAGTTTGAGGATGTCATGGAAGATTCTGTTACGGAATCTCCTCAGCGAGTGATAACTACTGAAGATGATGAAGATGAGACCACTGTGGAGTTGGAAGGGCAGGATGAAAACCAAGAAGGCGATTTTGAAGATGCAGATACCCAGGTGGGGTTTTTGTTTAAGATTTATTTATTTATTTATTTGGTTTTTGGAGGCAGGGTTTCACTGTGTAGCACTGACTGTCCTGGAACTAGCTCTTGTAGACCAGGCTGACCTCGAACTCACAGAGATCTGCCTGCCTCTGCCTCCCGAGTGCTGAGATCAAAGGTGTTTGCCATCACTACCCAGCTAAGCTCTTAAATGATTTGTGGTGTGTTCCAACCTTGATAAAGCATTGTGTTTTCTGTAGTTACTGTAGGAGATAAGATCTGAACTGAGGATAGATAATGTATGAATGAGAATTTAGAACTTTGGGTTTAAAAGTAAGTGGCATTATTCTTTTGGTGTTTTGTCTCATTTTTGAAGTTTGTAACAAAATTATTCATGGTATAGAGTATCTCATTTTGTTTGATTTTTGAGAAAAGTTCTCACTATGTTTTCTTTTTCTTCTTACCATATTTTACTACGTGTGTATATTGAAGAATTAAATTAATATAATCAGACTAGGGGCTGGAGGGATAGCTCAGCCGTTAAAGGCTAGGCTCACAACCAAAAATATAATCAGACTAATTAATATATTCATCCCCCACATGGTTTTTTATGTGTAGTATGAAGTAGTGAAAAAACATGGACAAGGTTTATTCTATTAGGAAATTTTTTTTTTTTTTTTTTTTTTTTTTGGGGGGGTTTTTTTTTTTTTTTCCTTTTTTTTGAGGCAGGTTCTCATTGTATATCCCTGACTGTCCTGGAAATTGCTATGTAAATGAGGATGGCCTGAAAATCACTGAGATCCACTTGCTTCCCAAGTGCTGGGATTAAATGCATTTGCTGCTGCACCTAGTTCTCTTATTAAATTTCAGATATGAAATATATTATTAAATATCATTAGCACATATGTTAGCTTTCTGGAACTTACTTATCTTGTGCCTCGAAGTTTGGTATTTTGCTAAAAGTATTTTATATCTCTGTGTTGTGTCCTTGTTGCTTACTGGCTGTGTTTTCCTATACAGATGTTACCCACAAAGTGTGGCACACCTGCTGGCGCCGTTTGTAGACATGGTGTATTTTATTTTTATAGGAGGGAGATACTGAAAGTGAGCCGTATGATGATGAAGAATTTGAGGGTTATGAAGACAAGCCAGAGACCTCTTCTAGCAAAAATAAAGACCCCATAACAATCGTTGATGTAAGTATATGAGATTCTAAATTCCAAACTAAGCAATAAATTATTAATACCATAATCCATGACATACCGTGAGTATTAGAATAATAGTGGAAGCTAAGGAAGAGCTTAACATGAGTTCTGACAACACATCCATTGCTAGGAAGCAGCTCCCATGTTGTACTCTAGCCCTCCTACTTTCTCTTAATTCAAGTAGTGTAAGGTGGATGACATTGAGCACACTCTGCAAAATGACTCTGACCTAGAGCCAGGTGGCAGTGGTGGCACATGCCTTTGATCCTAGCACTCTGGAAGCATAGGCAGGTGGATCTCTGAGTTCTGAGTTCTCTGGTGTACAAATCAAGTTCCAGGACAGCTAGGGCTACAGAACCCTATCTTGGAAAAAACAAACAAACAAAAAAAACACCAAAACAAAATAAAAAGCTGACCTAGAAAATCAAAATGGGCATTTGTGTGTGTGTGTGTGTGTGTGTGTGTGTGTGTGTGTGTGTGTTGAGACAAGGTTTCTCTGTGTAGCTTCGGAGGCTGTCCAGGAACTCCCTCTGGAGACCAGACTGGCCTCAAACTCACAGAGATCCTCCTGCCTCTGCCTCCCGAGGGCTGGGATTAAAGGCGTGTGCCACCAACGCCCAGCGGGCACATTTTTTTGAAGTGTAACTTTTTTGTTGTTTAAAAGATTTTATTTTATGTGTAGGAGTGTTTTGTCTGCATGCATGTTAAGTGTATCATGTGCATGCCTGTTTCCCTTGGAGGCCAGAGAAAGCATCAGGTCCCCTGGAACTAGAGTTAGAGATGGTTATAAGCTACCATGTGGATGCTGGGAACCAAACCTGTGTCCTCTGTGAAAATAGCCAGTACTCAATAACCATTGTGTCTTCTCTCCAGTCACTAAAGTGTAACGTTTTTCCTAGTGACAGTAATATAAAGTATCCACTCTGGCTATGGTCTTTTTAATTTTTTTTATCCATTACTTAGACTCCATGTTCAGTCTCAGCCAACATTAAAGGGACTTTTTCCTTCTTAAGGTTCCTGCACACCTCCAGAACAGCTGGGAGAGTTATTATCTAGAGATCCTGATGGTGACTGGTCTGCTCGCCTATATCATGAACTACATCATTGGGAAGAATAAGAACAGCCGACTGGCTCAGGCCTGGTTTAATTCTCATAGAGAGCTTTTGGAGAGCAATTTCACCTTAGTGGGTAAGTTAAGTTGTTACCAGCCCAGTGGCCTGCCTGGAAACAGTCTGGTAAGAAAGTTTTTCACCTCAGCAGAAATATTTAAATGGTTTCCCAGAGTGCTGACTACAATGCATTTATTTTCTTCAAGGATCCTATTTTTTGGTTGGGTTTTATATTATAAGTAAATCATATCAGCTCTCACTTTTTCATTACTCAACAGTATGATTGCTAAATAGTGTAAAAACAAGATGTTAAAATTCTGGTTGAAACAAAAACTTTGTCACTTTAGGTGGTTTGGTAAATAATTTTAGTTCAATATTTAGAACTGGGAAAACACTCACAATTTCTTAAGTTCTGGGTACTTCGATTTTACTTCCACAGATGAGATATACATGAGGTCTGTGAGTAGCTAGCTGCGTAGTGTGGATTGTGAGGTTAAACTCCCTTCACACTCACTTAGCACTTTATTTCTCCTTGGTAATAAGCTCCCTTATGCACATTTTTGTGTGTACTTTACATGCATTGTTTTGTCTAGGGTTGTTTTAATTAATTTGTTATTAATTTATTATTGGAGTGGGCAGGGATGCTTGTGACAGAGCATAAGCAGGGAAAACAACTTGTGAGAATCAGTTCTCCTGCCACATGTGGGTCCTGGATGCAACCGTCAGACTTGGTAGCCATTGCCTTCACCAGCTGAGCCCTCCTACTGGTCCATCATGTAGCCCAGACCAGCCTTGGACTGCCTTGTAGGTCAGGCTGGCCTCCAACTCAGAGATTCTCCTGCCTCTGCCTCCCTAGTGCTGGAATTAAAGGCATGCACTACTAAGTTAGGCCTCACATATTTTTTTATTTTTTTTTTCTGTCACACATTGTTTTTTAATTGCTTTTTGTTGCAACACTGTTAATTGGTTATACTTTTTATTTTTGTAAGGAAACTGATGTTAAAGCTTATCTAAGGGGCTAAATTGTAACCATGTTATTAGAACTATCTACCTGTTTACCAGTGGATGCTCTCTTCCCTGTTCCAGAGTATTTTAGGGCGTTTTTTGATGGGGAATTTAGGGTGGCGGTGGTGGGGAACATTCTTTAGCTCATTGCCTTCCCTCTTCTTCATGCCAGAGTCCATAACTTTTTTTTATGGAGACAATAAAGAGTTTTAAAAGTAAAGAAAAGTCCCACCTCTACTAGCCTGTGCAGCAACCCTGAGCACCCAGCACACTTGACCTAGCAGATGACAAAGAACCGGTCTGTGTCCTTGATGCCGCCCACCGTCCTGGTGCCTGCTGTGCACTGGTAGCAGTGGCAGATACCATTTTCTCAGCTCTCTGCATAAATTCACAGAGAAACATGAGTGGATAGCAACATAAAATGGTGGAACATTGGAAATCAGTAATTTTGCACAGGAAACTTTGGGAGTTGTTTTTTGCTGTAGTCTGCCTGAAGTTGGTATAAAATTGAAATAAAATAATGATTTTGGGGATTTGGAATGTGTGGAAACTGCCACTGAACTCTCTACTCTGTCAGAAGTAATTGGAATTCATGAAGTTCATACAGAAAATCCAGGCCTTATATACAAATCTTGTTATGAAGATGGCTGTCTGAGAGATGACACTGAGTATGTCTTCAAGACTAGATGAATTCATGTGTGAAGAAGCAGTTGGTAAATTTATACATCAAACCTATCGAGGCATGAAACTTTTAAAATAATACTGAAATAAAGCCACATTGCCAGTCCTTTAATCCCTTTCAAAGGAGATTGTGTGAGATGGCAAAGCACTGATGTCCTAAAGTGACCCAAAAGTTCCGTGAGTCAGATCAGTGCTTTCCCTCCTAGGGGATGATGGGACTAACAAAGAAGCCACAAGCACAGGAAAGCTGAATCAGGAGAATGAGCACATCTATAACCTGTGGTGTTCTGGCCGAGTGTGCTGCGAAGGCATGCTTATCCAGCTGAGGGTAAGTAGGAATGCCTGCTTCGACATGTATCTTCCCTTCATTGTTTTCAGCACAACTGCTAATACAGATTTGGTGCTTCCATCCTCCTTGTTTGATTTAAAATGAAGTCTGAGTACTACATTTCTAGGAGTTGGCAAATGAAGCATTCAAGTCTTCTCCAAGGCCCTTCTGTAAGTGCAAGCTGGAAGGTATTGACTCATTTCTCTCTTTTCTCAGTTCCTTAAGAGGCAAGACTTGCTTAATGTCCTGGCCCGGATGATGAGGCCCGTGAGTGATCAAGTGGTATGTATGTTTTCCTGCTGCTTCTCTTGATATAAAATGGATTATTTTCTTAGCTATTCCATTTCTGCTGGGTTGTGTTTGGAACTCCTGGCAGTTTGTGTCCATGCCAGAAAATGTGATGCTTTTCTACCTAAGCAGATCATCATCTTTTCTCGGTGTTCCACTGTTGGAAAGCCTCCACTTGCTTTTTGCAGGGATGAGATAATGTCTGTCACCATTGGTAATGGCTGGATTGTCCTTTATTTTTTAAAACTTATCTGTGTGTGTAAATATGGGTGCATGCATGAGAGGGTACACATGTGGAGGTCAGAGGACCGCTTTTGGGAGTCAGTTCTCTCCTTGGGGTCTAGGGATCAAATTCAGACCTTCAGGGTTGTATCGCAACCAGCACAGTTTAAGCTGTCTCAACAGCCCTGTGAATACTGCGACTTTGACAAAACACTAGGTTTCTTCTCAAAGTTTATTTTGTTTGTTTTAGGGTTTAACTTAAATATCAAATGATTTTGGTTGAAAGAGCTTAAATCAGAGTCTAGGTTTTTGGGTATAATGTCTTCCACTTATTAAACTAACATTAATCTGAAAATTGTGCCCTTTGTCAAATATGTTCCCTGCGTCTATCCCAGAGATACTACAGACCAGATTACTATTGTTTGCTTTTTTTTTCCTTCTGGATTCTGTAATTTCCTGTAAATACAGAACAGTTTTTTTTTTTTTTTTTTTTTTTTTTTTTTTAAAAAAACTGCCATTTTCCTGGGTTTTCTTTATTAAAAATTTTCTTTTTTTTTTTTTTTTTTTTTTTTTTTTTGAGACAGGGTTTCTCTGTATTGTTTTGGAGCCTGTCCTGGAACTCACTCTGTAGACATGGTTGGCCTTGAAACTCACAGAGATCTGCCTGCCTCAGCCTCCTGAGTGCTGGGATTAAAGGCATACATCCCCATGCCCAGCAAAATTTAAAAACAAAAAACAAAATAACTGTGTAAGCCAGGCTCACACTGTTTCCTTCTTCAAAAGCTCATTCAGATTCTTGTCAGAATTCAGCCTCTTGTATATTTGATCCATACCTGCCGAGTGGGAACCTCTTAGGTCCTGGAAGCGTTACCCTCTGGTCCTCATAACCCATCCCTTGATGATCATGTTTGCCCCAAAGATGCTCTTATTCAGCTAGGGCCCAGTTATTTTTAATACCTTGCTAGATTTTGTGTTGTGCCCACGACAATGCCCCTTTTTGTTAGTTGAAATCAACTGATAAGGAGTCTTCTGCCATTATATCCATGAATCCTGCTCAAAGGGAGAATGCATATAGCGGAAGTTTGAACTCTTCAGGGCCATTTGAAAATCTACCCATCATAGAACCTAACAAGTGAGTCTTGGTTTTATTTTCTTTTTAAAGCAAATAAAAGTAACCATGAATGATGAGGATATGGATACATATGTGTTTGCTGTTGGCACGCGCAAAGCCTTGGTGCGACTTCAGAAGGAGATGCAGGATCTGGTATGTCACGTTGCTCTAATGGAAATGTGTGCAGATGTTGCCTCTTTATTACAGAGAGAGAGGTTCAGCTTCCCAGCCCACTTCAAAATAGGTAGTACATACCTAGCCTTTTGGAAAAATCTGTATAAAAAAATACCATGTTTCATGTTTTTATTTTCTTCTTCCAGAGTGAGTTTTGTAGTGATAAACCTAAGTCTGGAGCCAAGTATGGATTGCCAGACTCTTTGGCCATCCTGTCAGAAATGGGAGAAGTTACGGAGGGAATGATGGATACGAAGGTAAACACAGTAAAGGATCATGTTCAGTAGTGCACATCTGTAATGCCAGCTATTCTAGAGGCTGAGGCAAGAGGATCATGAGTTCCAGTCCAGGCTGGGTAGTATACCTAGAGACTCTGTCGCCAAAAGAAGAAGTAAAAAAAATCACATAATTAATTTTATTTTAATCTCTCTTTTGAAACAACAGGTAACTAATCTGTGACTATAGATCATTCATGGTAAACATTTTCTGTGATACTTATAGTTATCTGATTTTGATCAATTGGGTAAACACAGCCATTGCTTGTTCTAGAAACAGTAGCAAGGCAACACCATTTTAATGAGGCACTGGCCAGCTCTCATGTTGAGAGGGTAGTCTCCTTGAAGCTGGGACAGGTCTCTCCGGTGCTGTACATTAGTTACAGTTGTGTACTCCTTCCTCCTGCTGATAGATAACCTGTCAAATGGCTGTCAGTCCAGGGGACAGCTTGGCAGTTTGCTCTGTGCAATCATAAGGACTCCAGTGTTTATCTAGATATGGCACTCTCTGGCTTCCCCAGGTACACCGTACTTGAATCGGGCACACACACACTCACAAGTGATACTCTTCTGGCTTCCTCAGGTGAACACTCATGCATATACACACACACACATGCACTCGCACACAGGAAAATAAAAAGCTCTCGCTAAAGGAAGTAATGACTTTCAAGCTTTCAAGGTTTTGTTTTGTTTTTGTTTTTTGAGACAAGAGTCTCTCTATGTAGCCCTGGCTAGTCTGAAGCTCCAAGAGGTCTGCCTGCCTCTATCCACCAAATGCTAAAATTAAAGCTGTGTGCTACCACTTCAAGCCAACTTCCAAGTGTTTTGGTATTTTTTTGGTTTTTGTTTTGTTTTAAAGATTACAGCCTTAATCCTCTGATGGTTTCATGTCGTCATTCTTGAGTTTCAGTTTGTATAAGTAAGGCATACAGGGCAGGCACTTGTGATCCTGTCATGGAAGAGGCTAAGGCTGGAGGACGGCTGCAGAGAACCTTTTTTTTTTTTTTTTTTATGTTTCTCTACAATTTATTAGCTTATTTTTACATTTCAATCCCAGTTCCCCCTCTCTCCTGTCTTCCCGCTCCCTCTACTCCCGCCTCAACTCCCATCTGCTCCTCTGAGAGGATAAGGCCTCCCCTAGGAAGTCTACTAAGTCTGTCCCATCATCTGGTTGAGGCAGGACCAAGGCTCCTCCCCAACCCCCACATCCCTGTGTCTATGCTGGACAAGGTATCTCTCCATATGGAATGGACTCCATTAAGTCAGTTTGTGCATTAGCGTTAGGTCTTGGACCCACTGTCAGTGGCCTCATATATTGTCCCAGTCGCACCATTGTCACCTATATTAAGGGAATCTAGTTCAGCCTTATGCAGGTTCCCCATTTGTCAGGCCTGAGTCAGTGAGCTCTCACTAGCTCGGGTCAGCTGATTCTGTGAGTTTCCCCATCATGGCCATCCTTTGTTCATATTATTGCTATTCCCTCACTTCAGTTGTACTCCAGGAGCTTGGCCCATTGGTTAGTTGTGGATTTCTGCATCTGCTTCCATCTGTTTCTGGAAGAGGGTTGTAGCTTCTCTGGGGTTGTGCATTGTAGGCTGGGTATCTGCTTTATGTCTAGTATCCACTTATGAGTGAGTACATACTATATTTGTCTTTCTGGATCTGAATTTTTTTTTTCTAGTTCTGTCCATTTGCCTACAAATTTTAGGATGTCATTATTTCTTACCACTGAGTAGTACTTCATTGTGTAAATATACCACATTTTCTTTATCCATTCTTCAGTTGAGGGGCATCTAGGTTGTTTCCAAGATCTGGCTATTATGAATAATGCTGCTATGAACATAGTTGAGAAAATATCCATGTGGTGTGACTGTTTCTCCTATGGGTATATGCCCAACAGTGGTATTGCAGGGTCTTGAAGTAGGTTGATC